CACTATCCCAGGTTGCTCCATGTCCCATCCAGCCTCGCCTTGGACACTTCCAGGGATCCAGGTACAGCCTTGGCCGTGGCCTCACTACCATCTGAGTGAAAAAAAAATAAATTCTTAACATCTGATCTAAACCTACCTTCTTTTAGCTTAAATTTGTTTCCCTTCAAGAGCAAAACACTTCTCAAAACACCATAACTACTGAGCGTGGTGTCTCTCTCATCACTTCTTTAGTATGGGAGAAGGGAATATGCTTGCCAGTGAAAATGAATGCAGTGCCCTCTGGTCCCCCTTAACGAAGATGTACCAGGAGTTTGGAGGATTTCCTTCATGAAGTTTCTTTAGCAACTGCAGAAAACATGGTGATAACTAATTTTTGATGTTTCTTCTTACAAGACTTGACTGGTTGAGTGCAGGTGCCTGCTGGAGGATGAACTCTAGGCCTGATTCGCTGTTTACAGAGAGGTGCCCATGGCTGCTTGGGGGTATTTTGGGGAAACAGGGCTATAGGGTAAGTCACAGGTTGTAGGACAGACCCATATTTAGCAAAAGTCCTCCAGGATAGCCCAAGGTGTCTCTGACATGCAACTTGACTAAAAGCAAGCAGTTAAACTTCATTCCTCTGCTATAGACAGCCTAATTAAAATACTTGAATTGGGACCTGAATCCAGATTCAAAGCAGAAATATTTGGATTTCTAGGGGAGATGTCAGAGGAGTAATCGCAGTTCTGTGCTACCTGGGTGTAGTGGTTTAGTTTTGCCAATTTTGTTTCACGGCCAATGCACCAAATAAATGTTGTGGTTTTAAAGCAGTAACTAAAAAATTACTAGAAAACTTACTTATTTCTTGCTGTGAGATATGGATAAGAACAAGACCAAAACAAGCTTAAAACCTAAAAGGAATAAAAAAAGTTTATTAACAGAAATACAAGAATAAGAAAACCAGAATAACTTCCAGAAAACCTCTTTCTCTCCCACTACTCAACCATTTGTTCACATATTCCACAATCTTTGTTCACATGACAATATAGACACAAAAAACTTGGAACTTTGGTGTTTAAATCAGTCCCAATTCCTGTTAGAGTCTTTTCATCAGTCTTGGTAGAGAAACAGAAGTCTTCCTCTGCTAATCTATGGAGTCTTTCACAAGAAAACTATTTCTGTTATAGTTTCTTATTTCTCTGATGCCAGCTGCCTGGAAATCCTGCCATCAGTTCACTCTTCCTATTTCACATCACTCTAAAGTGTGTATGGGTCATGAGTCTAGGGATGTCATTTTCAAGGATGAGTTATTCAAAGGCAAAAGTTCTCTTCATCTGTGTCTGTGAGCCTCCCTGGAAAACAGAAGTTTTCTCTTTGCCTCAAGCGGCCCCAAATCTTCAACTATTACTTCCCTCTTTCTGTTCCAGCACCTCGCTGTATCACAACTACTCCACTGTTTGCTCAAAATCTACACTTTGAACACTATTCCTCCCAATATACTCTGTCATGAATTAAAGGAGTTTTTTCAGAACACTATTGTCTATCTCCATAGCTTTAACAGAAAAATATTTCAGCTTATAAAGCATCTCCTTATTTTCTCTTCTCCATCTAAAACTCAATTCTTTTCTTCACTGTCTTTGATGGTTTTATGATGTTTTCTTCATGTTGATTGTCTCTCTGGGAAAAAGAAGTAATCTGTAAGTCTCATCCAGGTAGTAAAAGAGTTAAAAGTCTTGGAAAGCTGCAGGTGTTGATGGTGTCAGGTTTCAGTCCAGCAGCAGAAACTACAAACCAAGCCAGGCCGGCCGGCTCCGTTTCTCCCCCCACCCTCTGCGGCCTTGTCCGGCCTGGAAGCGGGGGAGGAGGCCGAGACAGAGCCTGTTACCTCTTCAGAAGCCGGAAACCAAAGAAAACAAGAAAATCCTGGCTTTATATCCTAAGGTGGTGTTCACAAGTTGATCTCACTTTTCAATGGTCAAAACTGCTGTCAGTTCTTAGAAATGACTAATAATTGGTCACAAGAAAAAACTCCCATCAGCCTCTCACAGCTTTAACTTCCTCCCAGCTCCCGAAGCTATCTTAAAGGTAAAGTCACCCCATGACACTGGGAGGCCAGATCAGAGCCATTCTGGTCTCAGACTGTCCCATCCAAAATCTTCAAAAGTTCTGTGCTTTGGCTAGAAAAGCAACTCTAGGATGGTACTGATGTCTTTGAAGGAAAACAGTAGAGCTCTAATTGAAACCAGTGGACGAAGGGAAGTATTACATAACTTTACACCAACCTATATCCCTCTTTTCTTACTTACTTGCCCTTTCTGCACTTGCTTCACCTTCCTCAACTCAATGCTGTTTTTTTGTTTCACATCTCATCTATTTTTCAATTCTGTCTTTGCATACATAAGCATTGAGGTGATGTAGAAGATAAAGGACTCCACAGTGCCTGTTAACAACAGTGGAATGGACCCCACTACAGCAGGTACAGTCACTACACTACACCCAGTGCCAGTTACAGCAGAGCCAAAAAGACACTTACTTCCTGTATTTCACCAGCTCTACTTGTGCTGTGTGTACCAGAGATAAAATTTCTGTAAGCAAGGAAGGTAGAAAAGCTTCCTGAGCTCTGCACTGAGACCTCCGCTGGCTTCAGACCACAAGGCACGCTTTGAGGCACACACTGATGATGATCTGGTGGCTGCAGGTGATGTGGCATCCCTGGAGTGAGGGAGCAGCTTAGGTCCCAGTTGGGATCTCTAATGTGGGTTTTAGATGTCTAAAGTAGAAATATAATTACAAACAGAGGAGCGTTTCAACTGCCAGGACCCACTCTTCAAGATTGTGTTGTCAGACAGGGACTTTTGGTGACACCTCTGTACTGTAAGACTGTCCTGTAACAACTGGGCAAAGTTGTCTTTCAGCACAGGCTGCAAGGAGCATGGTGGGGTGCAGGACAGAGCTTGGTTTTCTCTGAATGCTGAGGAGCTGTGAGACCAACCCACCTCCTCTTGGAAGTCTTTGCAGGAAGATGCTGAAATCAGGGCTGTCATTTACAGGTGACTCCCACTCATCCTGATTTGGTGGATGCTAACAAGTAGGAATTCATACATCCATCAAGTGAGGCAGCAAGATTGAGGAAGAAACGCTTGGGTGCTGGGGTCTCCCAAAACTTGAGTTGAAGCAGGTGGTGCTGGAAGTCAAACCCTGATGTTTGCTGGTACCGTGGTCCTGCAGTAGTACTGTGATCCCATGGGGCTCCAGAACAGGACTGAGCCTTCAGCAAATGAATAACCAAACTTGTCAAGCCCCATCTACTATGCCAATGTTCATAAAATGAAAATTTTATGGCAGAGGGAAGAGAAATAAAGAAAAATAAGATGGGAATGGAGGTGCCAGGTTCAGCTAAGGCAAAGGATCATCTCTGGGTACCTGGGCTGCTCATTTCTGCATGGGTGTTTGGCTTTCAGCCCTCCCTGGCTGTTATCTCCCAATCACTGTCACCACAGGAAAGCGTTTGCTACTTCCACGTCACCCTTCACACCCCACAGGCACAGCTGGGACGTACAGTGAGCATGTTTGTGGTGGCTTGTACCCACCTCCCCCCATCTCCCTGCCCCCATCCTCAGTGGGTTTTTTGGGTTTTCAAGCTGAAGATGCCTTGCAGAGAAGCAGGTGCTTCTTGTGGTTTGTATCAAAAGCTTCACACTAATCCTAATGCTGTGCCTGCTCTAGCAGTTACTCAACGAGTTCCTTCACAAGTCATACTTACTTGTGATTCTGTAGGACTACAGCTGGAGTACAGAGAGCCCTCCTTCTGATCAGAGAGGTGTTAAAACCTTCTTCTCTTCAGTGACTTATCCATGAGAGGTGAACCAGCACCCTACTTCCTTAGTCTCTTGGGCTGTCCCTGAATTGGTGTCAAGACCAAACTGCTGTGCTGCTGCAAAGAGAACATCCCTAATAGTCCTTCAGAGATACTGCCAGTATTCAAACACTTAGAAATGCAGTCTCTAGTCTGGATCAGGCTGGCCAGACTCCATCAGAGTCATAGACACACTCAGGCCCTCACAGGACTTGTCTGGCCCAGCCTCATTTGGGTGTCTAAGGAAGATGTCCTAACTCACTGTCTTTCAATAATGACCTCTGCACATCTCCTCTGCAACCCCTCTGAGATACCAGACCTCATTCAGAGCTGTGTCACCTTCTAGTAGTAAAAAGGAACATTTCACTCTCTTCCTGGATACCTTTGCACAGCACCAAATGCTTGGTTTAGATACTGCCTTGCGGAATAGTTACAGTTGTTCAAGTGCTTGCTGCTGCTATGTATTTAGGGGTCGAAATTCCCCTGGGGGATGTTCCCCAGACAGCACAAAGCCATTTTAATGGCTTTTCTAAGCACCTCTTTTATTTGTCCCTATTTAATCACTTCAATGCCCATTTCCCAATTAGACACAACATTTTATTAAACTGTACAAACAGCACTGGCATTTAAAAAGTTCATGTTAACCGTTCTAATTAAACATGATGACCAGCTCCACAAACTGCAAGCACAGATGCCCCCTCCTGCATTTCATAGAGCACAAACAAGGATTTCATCAGAGTCACTGGACTGAAACCTTTCTCACGGTGTTCTGCTCTTCTTGTTAACTTCAGGCACTTCAGCCCTTGCTCCTTCTGGATTCTATGCCTGCAGTCACTGCCACTGATATCCCAGCACTGCTTTCAAGGCTGCATTCATCCTGTTGGGAGGTCCAAATTGACAGCCTGAACCAGCAGAACCAGGAAGGCACCTCTGAAGGGAACCTGATTTTGGGATAACTTACCTTCTGGAGCTTTTCTTCTCCATGGACTGGAGGTTGATGCAAGAATGCTTCAAATGTATGACCTTCAAATAGATCCGAACACCAATTCGAGTGACTGCCTAAGCCTAAATTGTTACAAAATTTTCTTTTTAAGCTCTGACATGATTTTGACAATTTTTCATGGATATCTCAGTGACAAGCAGTAACTGTGTGGTTTCACAAATCTCCAGCCACAGGAAACAGTGCATCTTTATTTAAAAGGATCCCATGATGAAAGGATCACAGGAAAGACTTTTTTTTTAAACCCACCTACATTCCCACAGACTTCAAAGGGATAGGACACACAGCAAAATGTCACAAGGTGGAGGTGAGGGCCACCCTCACCTGATGTGTCTCCTGCTCTGTGACCATCGTGTGCAGCTCAGTGACCTGTGCCATAGAGCTGGGACATCATTTAGAGAAAGTTAAATCAACCTTTGGAGGACCCACTAGTGAAATTTCAAGTGAAATACCCCAATTCTGTGACTGGAAGGCCACTTTTACAATGCTTAAACAATGGTTTGAGAAAACATATTGCATTTTTCTCATGTGGTTTTAGGTTAAAATGCCAGAAATCCCCATGGAGATCTTGCCCTGAGTCTGGTGTGTGAGAAGACACTTAAAGCTTTAGAATACGGTTCTCAAAGCATTGTGCAACCTCTCATTCTTCCTGCTCAGGCGGCACTAAGTGTAAACCTCTGGTTTTCTGTACCAAACTTGGCACTTCCTTTGGTAGCAATCCATTGAGAGGTGCAGATGGTGGAATGGGGCACCTGAAAAAAGTCTCTTCATCCCATGGAGAAAAATTGAGTCCTAACACCTGTGAACAGCATTTTTAAAGGATGTAGGGAGCAAATTTCTTCTTCAAAGCTGCGCACACTTTGACAATTCTGCACGTGTACAAGTGGGGGCTACCAAAACATCCAACCTGAGTCTCCCCCGACACCCTCTGTCCTTGAGCAAACCACTTTTCCTTCAGAAGAAGGTGGGTCTGGGTCAGAGTTGCAGAAATAGGCACTGACATCACCAGAAGCTCAAATATACATATTTTTCCTCACAGAGAAACCTGTTGGTTCTGTGTACAAGTAGTGAGGAACACATTTTGGCACCTCCACATTTTGAGAGCATTGGGAAGAGAGAGAAGAGAGACCAAAAGATACCACAAAGAAACTTTATCATCAATGAGGAGTGGGCTGGCTTCTGCTATAGACTGGAATAAATCAGAAGCCTCCAGGCATGGTACAAACTTCCACTGAGGTGCTTTCTTTCTGGAGGGTTCTTGATAAAAATAACCATGCACAGTCTTCAGTTGACAAAGTGCTACTCAAATCATTACAGAGAATTCCTTCAGTAAGGCAGATCTCAGGAAAATATTTTCTCCATTTTAGGGTTCACAAAAGAGAAGTTGCTGAACATATTTTGGTCCATGCTGTTAATCAGTGCTCTGTCAGCACAGGACAGTCTGGGTTTTTCATTTAGGAATTCCTTGTCGAAGTTGCTACAGTCACTTGGAGATTTCTTCAAGAAAAGTAAAAAAAATTGATGTCAAACCACTAATAGTCAGATCTTTATTACCATAGTACTGGCCCTATCAGGCTGCTTCCTATGGGCTCAGCTCAACCTTTAGTTGGGAGCCAGTAAATATAAATATAAATATAAATATAAATATAAATATAAATATAAATATAAATATAAATATAAATATAAATATAAATATAAATATAAATATAAATATAAATATATATAATAAAGGAGGCACTGAGCCTGTGATCCAGGAATTCTGCCAGGCAGCAATGTTACAGCTTTGTAACATGGCAGACTGAACACACCAATTGTATAACAGTTGTAGAAGACTGTAAAATGAAAGTATGATGTGCTTGTCAAATTAAGTTCTATTACTGTTATTAATAGGACTTGAATAATTTAATAAGACTAATAGTCAGAATTATTCTGATTTTGCCAAACACCTGGTTCTGGAATTGTTTTACCTTCTGCAGTGCTATGAAAGATAATCCCTTCAGAATGGGCTGCAGTTATGTGGTGAAGGGAAGGTGTTACCCTGCTACAGTAACTGAGAAAGCAATAAGTAATTTATGGTTTCTCAGGTATGGGCATGCCAGACCTGGGCTTGCAGCCACCACAAAGCTGTAGTGCGAGGATCAGGTCAGGCAACCAGTAGAAATGCAGAGTTTAGAAGACCTGAGATGGGTGGAACTGAAAGAAGATCCATCCTTACCACTCTCGGTTTGAAAGGAGGCTCCATCCTTCTCTCTTCTAAAGCTTCCCAGTTGATTTCCTGGAAAAAGGCGTGCTGGCGGATGTTCCCTCTTGCTCCCAGTCTCCTCTCAGGCTCTCTTACAAAAAGCTGGAATGTTGATTCCATAGGTTAAATTCTCTGATGATAATACAAGCATAAAGCAGGGTGGAATGTGTAATTATCCAGACTCAGTGCAATGGGAAGAGGCCATAATGGAGAAAACATTGGGATTTTTTTTTTCCTAAACCAGGCAGTTTACTGATTGGTATAAAGATGATTACTACTTCCAATTCTGACAGAAGTACAGGCTGTTTGGGCAGAAAGATGGCAGCATGTGCCCCAAAAAGAGATGTTCAACATCTCAGTCTGATGTATTTCTTAGTTTGAGGTTTTTTCTGGGAGTTAATAAGCCTTGCACCTTAGGGACTCTTCTGCAAAGAAACTGATCTCTGCTGGTGTCTGTGAGGAGCCACCATCACAAATCAGAAGGAAGACACACAGACGTCCTTATGGGAGAGGTGTGGTTTGATGCCCACAGGAAAGACAGTGACTAAATTAAATCTGTTGCTCTCTACAACAGCTGAAAATAAACAAATTGAAGACAATAATTCTGGCAGAAAGACTTTTCATTTGGTGGGTGGTGATTCTTACCTTCACCAAAATGTCCTTTGCATCCTTGTTCAGCCAGCGAGGGTAGAAGGGGTTATCCATACGGATGGACTGGAAAAGCTCCTCCTCATCTTGGCCGTGGAAAGGGGATTGGCCAATGAGCATCTCATACAGGAGGACACCAAAGGACCACCAGTCAACGGAGGTGTTGTACTTCTGCCCCAGCAGTATCTGCCCAGAAAGAGGAGCCACAAAGGCAGAAGTAAAATGTCTGACATGAGTTATTCAACTTCAGGAGAGGGCCCAGACCATGGCCTTGCAACAGCTGCTCTGCAGAGTGGGCTTTCAGAGTGCTTCCCACTGCCTGCAGCAGGAGCCAGAAATCTGCCAGTGGTACAGGGTCTGTGGCTCCTGGAGCAACGAGGCACAGCCACGCCTGGGTGCCAAAACAGTGCCTGGCAGTACAGACAACAGGCTGCATGTAACCCTTAAGTTACTTGAACAAATCCTTGGCTACCAGAGAGATATCAAATTTAAAAGATGAGACAAGTCATCTTTAGCCTTCTCTCCAAGGGTTCAAATCAGGCTTGTGAAGTCCAAGAAGGCAAATGGCCAGGTATTTGCATTTTGGGATTGATTCCAGTGACACAAGCTGAGTTTCAAAATGACAAATGTGGCAGCATTAAGGTACTTCAGGACTATCAGTCACTTAAAACGGTGTGACTCTACCCCAGCAAAATGTTCACCCAGGAAAAACATGAAAGGGGTTGCTGATCTGTCCTCTTGAGACCAACTGGGCTTTAGATGGAGGAATGGGAATTTGTCCTCAGTCAGTCCCTTGGTTTTTGCCTTTCAGTGTCACCTATAAAATGACATCCAGCTGGAGGGACGACCTCCCCAGGGTCTAAAGGACCATCACCAAGTTCTCAAACTTCCTCTATGAAGAAACAAAATTAATCTCACCTGCCTTTAGATATCTGTTGTTAAGATATCTAGAGCTGAATCAGCTATCACTAGCTCCTAGCCAAGGAAAGCAATTTGCCCAATTTTAAACATTCAGATAAATATCTACCTGCTGTAAAGTATAACTCCTGTTTGTCTCCTTTGGTTCTCAAAGAGCCTCAAAAACTTGCTCATATATAGATTTTTGTGTTGCAGATATCTAAAGGTTCACATGATGACTGTGGTGTGTAGGATTCTTACCAGAATTTGAGAGCTGTAGAAGGGAAAATTTAATTTTGAGGCACAGTCTTTACTCTTGAGCCCACATCTTGGTTGCAATGGGATAATCTGTACTACATCTGTCTCCAAAAGAGGAGATGCCAAAAAGACAAAAAAGAGATTTGAATATATGATGTAATATATGCAATGAGTTCTACTCAGAGCCAAAAAAATAAATCAGCAAGACCCCTTAATATGTTTTTTCTGGATCACTTACAAACAAAATCATCCCAGCCTTTCCTTCTGAAAAGAGAAATTATTTTATAAGGCTTTATCTTTTAAAGTCTAAAGTATCTGGAAATTGAAATTGAAGTGTTTTATGGCAGTCAGAAAGAAAAAGGTTTATTTTATTTTTTTTTTTGTTTTGCCAGGTAGTTTTCGAAATGAAAAAAATTTGCTTGTCTACTGACCCAAGCTCCCTCTTATCTGCATGGCTGTGGCCAAGGTGCTGGGTCTGTAACAAATTACAGTGGTAGCAATTGCAGTGAAATACTGACAGAGTCCAGTGCTCCTGCCTATGGTAGGAGAGATGATCCATAAACTTAGAAGTGCTTTCAATTTAGAGGTAAAATGTTTTATATGTACTCGTTGAATCCCTAAAATAAACAAGGTGCAGAAATGAAACTCTGAGCTATTTCAGTTTCTCTCTTTTCTATAAAATAAAATCACAGATAATGGATCAACAGTTGACTATTTTTTTTTTTTTAGGACCAAAAACCAGCATTTTTTTTCTTAAATAAAGGCATATTGAAGTGGGATAAAAGACAATTGCAGTTTGATTGCAAAGCACACTTACACCCATTCTTAGGCAATAGAAATCAAATTGATTTGAAGAGACCCTTGAGCCAGCAGTGGTGTAACCTCAGCCAGAATCGAGCCCTTAGTGCACAGTGAAGGACCAATGAATTACAGTAGAGAGAAAAAAACCCTAAAGGCTTTGACAGCTCTTTGGAAAATACAATATCCATCATGAAAACACTAAAATTATGAAATGGGATCTTGAAAGGTAAATAAATGGATTTCAGACTTATGTCAGACATGATGCATGGATGACTTGCAGGTTTTTCTCTGAGCTAAAAAATATTTTCTTTGGCCATCTAATTAGTCAAAGCTTTTCCATAGTAAGATTTATCATTGTGTGAAGTCATCAGGTTAGGGAAACTTTCTCTTTTCTGGAAGGATCTAGTTCTAAAATTTCTTGGGGAAAAAAAAACCAACAACCAAGTTTCTGTCTGTTTAAAAACTGAAAGAAATAAGGGAAAGGGCACAGTCATCATTCCTCATGCTGTGTCTGTCCCTCAATTGCAGGAGCCCTTGGAGTTTCTTCTGCTGTGTCCCAGAAATAATTTCTGTTAAGCATTCTCTTTCTTGGTTTAAATCAAGTTCCACTTGCACCAAAAAATGAATTAGCCACAAAAATAAGCAATGCCTAACAGCAACACAGACTCCAAGCCATGCTGAAATACAGTTTCTGGCCTGGAACTGCTCCAAACCAGGTTATTACTCTTTGCAACCTCCACCACTGCACAACAGTCACGTCTTACATAAGACATGTTTCCTGTCCCACAGCACTTGATGACCGCCCTGTGCCCCACACCTACCTCAGGGGCAATGTAGTCAGGAGTCCCACAGAAAGTGCTTGTCTTTGCATCTCCAAACATGTTCTCCTTGCACATCCCAAAGTCAGCAATTTTGATGTGCCCCTCATTGTCCAGGAGGACATTGTCCAGCTTCAAGTCTCTGTGGAGGAAGAGAAAAAAACCCCATTCTTTGAAGTGTAAAGCACACAAGTTATTTTAGCAGGTTACACTTACTACACTTGTTCTCTGCCTCTATGTAGTGCCTACATACTGGAAATACAAAGGAAGGCTGAGGGCTAAATCAGCTGCTCCCAACTGCTCCCTTGGGCTTCAGCTTCCCTCTTCTGCATTTCTCTTGTCCCAGCACTGATTTATCTGCTGGAGAAGACACAGAATCATGGAATCACAGAATGGTTTGACTTGGAAGGGACCTTAAAGATCACCCAGTTCCAACCCCCTGCCATGGGCAGGGACACCTCCCACTAGACCAGGTTTCTCCAAGCCACATCCAGCCTGGCCTTGAACACTTCCAGGGATCACATGACCCAAGATATCTTCTAAAAGCTGTTTCCTTCGAGGATGCAGAATAGTGAGGGCAGTACAGACAACAGGCTGCATGTAACCATGTCTTTGTGCCAGGTGGTGCTTCTGCCCTAACACAGCCTGGAGAATGAGAGCAGGTAACTCTCACTCTCTCCTCCCCTGGGAATCTCAATATTCTCTCTGAAGCTGCTGCCAGATCTCCCTCGTAGTGCGGGATCTACAAATGTCACAAGAGATAGGGATCCACAAGCCCTGTAAAGGGTCAGAGGAATCCCAGTCATCAGCAAAGCCCTCACCACTGCTGGGCTGCACCATCTGAACCCCAGGATTTACAAAGCCTTTCACACTCAGCTGCCAGGCTGTTGCCTGAGCTTTCAGGCTCTGAGCTACTCTGGGAAGCAAAGAGCCCAGAGAGAAGAAGAAAACAGAAATGCTCAAAGAAGAATATAAAATAAAAGCAAATATTATTTGCAATTATTATATTATTTATTGTTCATTTGCAATAAAAGCAAATGAGCCGATGAATCATGATCATTGGTGGAGAACAAAGAGGTCCTCAAGTGGGAACTAACTCTGAAAGGAGAGAAAAGCTTGTAAAGAAGAAAAAGGCAGAGAGAAATGAAGGCTGGCATGGTTTCCATGTTAATTTTGTTAAATGTCACCTAAAGGTTTTGTCTAAGATAATGATCCAGGTAAAATGTTTGTATCAGTGATGCTGCACTTAACCAAGGATGTGGGTAGAATTTGGGTCATCTGGTCTATGAGCACACACATTCCTGCACTGCCTGGTTTGTGCTGTCAATCACTGCTCCTTCTCAGGGCTCCCAAGGCATCCAGACACATCTGCTTGTAGCCACAGCTGAGGATGTAACTTTCATTATTCATGCTAATTCACAGCCTACACATATTTTGGCCAAAAGGCCAAGTGGAATGGGGCCTGATCCAGTGGATGCCATCCCTGCCCATGGCTGGAACCAGGTGATTTTTAAGGGTAATCCCAAACCAAACCACTCCGTGAATCTGTGATTCTGTGGCTTTCCACATCTCAGGCAAGAGGCCTAACCACAAGGCTACTGCACGGACACGGACCCTCCTGCCAACAACTGCTTTATGATGCGGAGTTCTTTTCAGAAATATTCCTTAAAGAAGGCATCTAATGCTTGATGCTCCTGGGATGATGGCCTGCAATTGCAGGGAAGATGATTTTTCAGCCTCCCTCTGTGCAAAGCTCCTTGTCTTGCTTGGGCCAGTTCCTCATCAGGGCGGGGGGACATTGCAGTGTTTATACACTAAATTGTTGTCATGGGGAAATTGTTCTCTGCTGCAAGAATGTGGCCCAAGACAAAATGGGAGTCATCAATCAAAGAGAAATACAGAGAAAACGGAGACATTTGCCTTCCAAGTGGCAGACACTCATGTTGTCACAATTTCCAGCTGGAATGACTTATTTTAGTTACAACGTTGAGATCAATCTCAGGCTGCCAGCACTGCTTTTATTCATCCAGTAGATCGAAGCAAAACAAAAAAACCCATCACCTACAGTTTGCTTTCATCATTTTGATGAGTCTCAAATTCATTGGCTCCAGGGACTGGAGTTTCTGCCAAAAAATGCCTTGGCTCATTTGTTAAAATTTAAGCCAATGTTTCCTAACGTGGGTGCATGAGATAGAACAGCTGGATTCATTATCCTTACGACATCACAAGATGTAGTTTCAAAAATTATTACTATTCACTTTTCTAAGTGCTTAGTTTGCTCTGACAAAGATACTGATGACTCTGTGTTCGCAGCTGACCTCCTTGTCATTGTCCTCAGTGAAAAAGGGAAAAGAAAGTAGGACTGGTTAAACCTTTTCTCTCAATGCTTGATACCCAAAGCAATATCACCAACTCCTGGGAATGAGGTATTTCTTCCTATCCACATGCTACCCAGTGCCCAGATATCCCAGTTTTCCCTCAATTCCCAAGGCTCCAGACTCTAAACACCCCTCTCCTTTCAGGAGGAAATGGGTCCCAAACCCCAACACAGCACTGCTGCAGTGATTCCAAGTAAAAATGTGAATTATAAATAAAATGTCAGCATTAGCTGTCCTGCCATAAAGTCACTATGTCCTGCAGATATTTTTAATCAGATTTTCTGAGAAGACTGACTAAAAATAGCAGACACGGGCAAGTGATTTGGGCACTTCAGAAATTTTTTCCCATCATTCATGGAGAATAATAATTAGAGCCAGAAAAGTTGCTGAAGCCCCTGAGATCATCTTAGCTTAATGCCACTGACATTGATCTCATGTTTATGCAGTCACCATTATCAGTCAATAAAGACTATAAATGGCTCCCCCATGAGCACTAACAAGAATCAAAGCTCATGTTTTAAAGGAAGAATGGATTGAGAGCAAGTCATCAACTTTCAGCATTTGCTCTAATGTTCACACTACATGACAAACATTGAACAAGCTTATTTTGGGTTCGGCAAACATCACTGCTGTAAGGAGCTTTCTTATTTATTTGTGATGAGTTATTTCCTTTCTGCTTTTAAAGAAGGCTGCAATGTAGTAACTGAATTTTGTCATGAAGTTCAGCTTAACCAGAGCTCCTCAGAAATTCAGTTCCTCCTTTTGGCCATGGGAAATCAGACTGTGGCCTAATTTCTGGTAGAACTGGGTAGTTCCCATACACATTTTAACACAGGCTTAATGAATCTAAAAATGCTCTCTGCTCTCTGCTTGCTACAAGAAGAACTTAACAGACAACTCAGATTCATGATGGTGAGATGAATCTCATCTCCCCATTGTGCACAAGATTAATCCAAAATTAAGATACATCACTGTCTCCCTGCTTTTGTTACTTGAGTTGAGCTTGTCACCACTGTCCCAAAGTAACCAGCACAGCAGATGGACCAAATTTCTTGTGTCTGACTTGACCTTAATATACCTTGAGATATTGAAAGCTTAAACAAGGTGCTTACACTGGGTGTATTTACATTTACTCCCTGTAAATGCATCCAAGGACTTGTTTTAATGTTAAATGAAATAGGACTGGGTTCTGAAACAAGGAACAAAACTGCCTTTTCTATACTCTCTCTTCAAAATAAAACACCCAAACTCTGTAAAAGGGAAATCTGCAGAGAATGCCAGTAAGTACAGACAAGAAATAGCCTCTCTGTTGCCATTGGTGCTTGCAGAGGAAAGCAGAAAAGGCTTAGCATTTAGCATATTAATTACACTAAAGACTAAAATTACCTGTATATTATGCCCTTGGAATGGAGGAACTGGAGCCCACAAATGATTTCAGCAGCATAAAACCTGAATGACAGAAGGCACACGTTAGAACAGGAGCTTCCCAAAAGTTTTTTTCAAATAGACTGAAAAAGATGGAAACCTTGTGTCCACAAGAGCCAAAATTTCATTTTTTTAGGTTCCCAGAAGGTTTGGAGTATCTCCAGAAGGCTTGGAGTGACTGTGTTTTACTGATGGTTGATGTGAGATTCCCAAAAGCAGGTGGGAGTCTGGGATGGGGAGCACAGACTCACTCCCTGGCTTGTTGAACTGCCCTCTTCCCTGCCCAGATTTATGACCTGCTTTCCAAAGAATCCCCAAATTCTGGCATTATTTAGGCTGGAAAACCCCTCTAGCATTGAGTCCAGCCATTAACTCAGCACTGCCAAAACTACCACTAAACCACATCCCCAAGTGCCACATTTCTTGAACACTTACAGGGACAGTGATTCCACCACTTCCCTGGACAGCCTGTTCAGTGACTGACCACACACTCAGTGAAGAAATTTTTTTCTGATTCTGAAAGCTTATCCATAATATGGACTATGCAGCAGGTTGGTGGCCTTTCTCTGGAGTTTTTTTGAGCTTGAAGTCGTTGTTCTCAGCACATTTTTACCTAAAGGACACCACCATACCCTGCTGCAAAGAGGCTGCATCAGTGTGAAGAGTGAAAGTGCTGTCCCAGAAGAGAATGAAACCAGAGGATCATATCCCCTCCCTGTGTGGCACAGCTCTGCTCCCTCACTCTTCAATGCATTGGCCCTAAGTTCTGGACATTCAAATGCATTTGAAAAAAATCATCAAACATTGATTTAAATGACATTGTGGGTTTTATTATTAAATTATTAAATAAAGTAATTCCTATAGGGGTTTCAATATTGACTTTCAAAATACCTTTTGCTTGCAGAAGGATCAAAAGCACCTTTCATTTATTCTAATTCTTGTATTTACTTTAATCAAAGCTAAATACATTTTTAATTCCCTGCTGGTATATTAATTTTTTGTTTAAATTTACCTTTTGTGCTTTTGATAGTTTTCACTCCACCTCCTTGAACTTTAAGGGGAAAAAAGGGAAAATCCCATTACTTCTAACAAACAACAGTTTCACCTCTGACCACTGGGCTGGGAACCTCAGCTTAAGCAGGTCCTGCAGCTTGGCTACAGAGTGTTGTAAAGAAGCAAGGTCATGTCTGAGAGAAACCAACTGTGTGGATGGAGTCTAAAAGCCTTCTGTGGGAGGGAAAAGAGGATGGGAAGTGACTCATTCCAGGTCCTTCACTGAGCTGGGAGGATGGCCTGTATGGTTTTGTTGAGTTTGGAGACAGATGGGACAGAGAGGGACTTGGCTTCCAGCACAAGCATCATCCCCACTTTGCAGCTGGGCAAGGTGAAGAGAGGTCAAATAATCTGCCCAAGATTTCCTCTACAATGCCTTGTAGAGGAGTCAAGTCCTCGGTTTGCTCCTGTCTCGTGTGCACCCTGCAGACCCAAAGGCAATGATAAATGTCTTACGTTGCTCTGGGAAGGTCGAACTTATGGCAGCTCTGGATATGGAACATGAGGTCTCCTCCATTGAGGTATTCCATCACAAAAAAGAGGTTTTCCTAGAGAAGGAGATAAGGTGAGAATAAATAAGGAGTGGTGAAGAGTGAGGTAACAGTTCAAATACTCAAAAAAAAAAAAAAATTGCTCAGAAAGCACTCAAAAAGAGGAAGGAAAGTATTACTGTGAGGGTGTTCAAAAGAAAACAGTTTCTTTTTTAGATTCCTCATTTCTCCTCTTAGTTCCCTAAGCCCATACTCACACTCCCTGCTCTGATTTCTATAAACACCATTAGCAAACACTACAAAGCCACTTCATAACCAGCTGCAGCCGCGGATTTTCACCAGCAGAGCTCCAGGCTCACAGAAAGGGATCAGTAACTTTACAGTGCCTGTATAGCGGAAGGACAGGTGGACAAGCAAAGGACTAGTGGAAAAGGCAAAAATCCCTCCTCTGGTCCCCATCCCAGTACAATATCCATCCAGTGGTGTCACCTGCATTCCTGCACAGCTTCTGTGGAGGCACCTGGGTCTGACTTACTCAAATTATCAGAGACACTGACCAGGCAAAGCAATTTGTTTTAAGCACATGCTTGATTTTAAGCCTGAAAGCTGCTCTGTGTAACTCGCTGGTGGGAAAAGTAATGAATTAATCATATTTCTAGATACCAATTGAGAACTTGCATCCTGCAATTTTTCCAGGCTCAGAGAAACCTGGGAAAAAGTTGAGTTCTTGTCCCTGGTTGCATGCAACCATCAGTTCTTCGACCAGGGCAGTGAAAATCTCTCCTGGTACATAGAAATGACAGAATCTCTCTCTATATAATAAACAGAACTGATCACTGAGGTTTCTTTTCCAATCCTTGATACAGAATCATGGAATCACAGAATGGTTTGGGTTGGAAAGGACCTTAAAGACCCCTAAAGTTCCAATCCCCTGCTATGGGAAAGGACACCTCCCACTAGACCAGGCTGCTCATGACATGACACTGACCCTCTCACAGCTTATCAGCCAAAACTTCACAGCCAGAACCCTGTAGAAGCTGGTTTAGATTGATCCCTTCCATGCTGAGTTGTCTCTACAAAGCAGAAAAGACAGGTTTTTTTTCTGGAGGAAAAGGATCTGCACATTGAGATATGCTCGCAGATTAAACTTCTGTTTTGGGAATCTCACCTTTTGTGCAAAAATGCAGGAATAAAACAAAATGAATGTGGTATTTTTTCCCCTCAAAAACCTCTCTCAGTTCTGTACACACCTGAAGTCAGTCATCTCTAGGCTGTGCTATAAAGGTTATGAATATCTTCCTTGTGTTGCCTATTGCCCATTACATTTTTTCTGGGGGGGAAATAGGGTTATTTTCACTTATATTTTTAACAGTCGAAGGTTTTTATCCGTAAGACCTAATGTAAGTATCTCTGGAAGCAAGCCAAGAGCTGGCTATGTTGAAAAACCACAAAAGTGCTTGTTCCTTTCAAACAACAGCTGTCTGCTCTAATTTGTGCAATTTCTTTAGCCAGATCCTCTTAATTACAGCACTCTTATTTAAATGGACTCACTGGAAACCCCACCTGTCATCCAACAAGCTCAAAGCCAGATCTGGCCTCCTGGGGAAAGAATACAAATTCCATCACTAAACCAAAAGGGTGCAGGTTTTCAGTATTTTTTGTATCTGCAGGGGGCTGTGCACATAAATGAGTTCCAGCAAATAAAAAGACCAAAGAAAGGTGGGAAACTTACTGAAGACTTGTATAAATCTTGGAAGCAGTGCAAGCTCACAAGCCCATTCAGGAAAATACTTGAACAGATGCTCTTTGGGAGGGCACACAGGGAGGTGATGGGGTTTAGCCAACAACACACCAGCAACCACATGTGTCCTGCTGGGACTGAAGAAACCTCATGGGTCTTGAAATGGGCCAGACTCAGCTTTAGTGGGCTGGGACAGAGAAAACTCCTCAGTTCCTCTGTAAAGTCCACTGATTTTGGCTGCACTTTATCGCACATCTCTAACTGTAACTTGATATCCATATTTATCCAGTAGAATGAGCAGTCACGCTCTGCTTGTTCATGAGTTTGAGCAACCATCTGATGCAGTTGTTTAACTGAACCCAGGGACTCTGACTTGAAACTGCGGAGTCTGGCAGCATCCTCGAGGGAAGAAAAGATGGAGCAACCCCTCAGATTAATTTACATCCACATATACAAATCATGTTGCTCAATTGCCTTTAGCTATGAAGCTGGAGAATACAAACTTAGGAATGTTTAGTACTGAAGTTTGTAATGTATCAGGTGCTCTTGAGTGGTACATAAACCCTACTGAAAAGACAGACAGGATCACTCTGACTTTCCTGCTCTGGGGTTTGGAAGTCCCTCTTGGTTCTTAAGAAGTGCAGCAGATGTCTGGAAGAGCTTCTGGAGGAGAACTGGTTGAGAGCAGCCCTACGCCATTATGAGTGGGGAGGTGTCACCAAGAAGGGCAAAGTGCAACAACTTATTGGAGTCAGGTTCCTATGTCTGAGATCTACAGAGCCACAGAGCACATTAAATATGGGAAGTGGCAAAACCCATTCTTGAAACCACCAAAATTTCAAGAGAGTTATAGAGGTCAAAGGGTCAGAGTGGTGCAGAGGATGTTCTTGCAGACAGGCTCCAGCTCCACTTCCTCTTGTCCTGGGAAAGCTCACTGATGGCTCCTGCCTGCTGCTGAGAGACTCTGGAGTCTGTCAGCACTCGGAGCAGGCAAGGGGAGTTAAGAGGGTGTTATCTGGTTGAAAATGTCCCTGCTCACTGCTGGGCAGTTGGACTAGATGGCCTTTAAAGATCCTTTCTAACCCAAACCATTCTCTGATTCTCAAGGCTCTGCCATGCCCTTATCCCCTGCAATGGTCCTGCCTGTGGATGTTGAGCAAACAAGCAGGAGTGTTGTTTCTCAGTGGTGAAGACCCCCACAGCTCTGCAGGAGGCCTGGAAAGAGTGCCCTGCCCCTCTGTCCTGCAGGCAGGTGACAGCTTGCTGAGCACCTGCAGGACCATCCCTGTGTGGCAAATGCTCAAGCCAAACTTTTGGTCATGGCTCTAGACTCACACAACAGAAAATGTTTGGTCTCATGGCAGACCTCAGGAGCATCTTTTACAACCACAGAGCTTAAGGAGGACTGGAAAGGCACTTACTGCACTCAGGGATGGTCACTGCACCAGGATAGTTATAAAATCATAAAAACATCTGAGTTGGAAAGGATCAACAAGGATCATCAAAATCCAACTCCTGGCCCTGCACGGGACACCCCTGAGAATCACACCATGTGCCTGGGAGCATTGTCCAAACACTTCCTGATGCATTTGACACATTGTCTTAAGAACATCCATGTATCAGCCATTCCCTTCTTCTAGACCATCTTCCAGGGGCTTTTTCCATTGCAGCATGAGGAACAGGACAAACGCTTCTGTGGGAGGGTGAAGTGCTGCTCCTACAGCAGACAGAGCTTTACAACAGGAGGGTGTCCAGCACACAGACATGGAAGCTGTGTCCTGCACAAAATAACAGAACTCCTGCACACAAAATAACAGTTCCCCACCTGAGCCAGTCCTGTCGGGTGCTGAAAGCCTGGATTACTGCAAGAACTCAATTTCCTGCCCTTTCAATCCCTCAGTGCCTGAGCTGAGCTCCTCCCTACAGAGCCACCTGCTCCCTCTCCCTCTCCAGGACATGGCAGGGATGGAGTTAAACCAACCTGCTCCTGCTCTGGGCGACTGCTGTGAGAATGAATAGTCACTATCAAAGATGCTTTCAACTTTATAAACAATGAGTATAAAGCAGGCAGCATTTAAATTGATCTTTTGAAGGTACATCCTTTAACAGGCTCTTAAAATCCTTTAACCAGCTGGAAGCCCTCCAGAGCACTTTTCTGCAGAGATTTTCAGATTTTGTTTTCTTTGCACTTTGAAAGCGCTTGCATACATACAAATAGACAATTTAACACCATTTATTGAGGAGCAAAAATTCTTCTTCCCAGGGATTACAGGAGGATAAATGTCAGAACAATTAATGCTGCAGGACAGTGTGGCTATACCTGTGTTTAGAGCAGGTACCCTAACAAATGTCTCCAGTGGAAAAGGCTCCGGATTAAGTGATTGAATCCTTTTTAATTCTAATTCCCATTGAATTAGGCTGTTCCTAGCCAAGAGAAAGGCTGGACTTGATGCAATTCCTGCAGCTGATTTTGGTCTCAACTTTTCATGGAACTCAGCGCAGTCTGGGTGCTGATTCACACTTTGGATCTATTTTATTTCCTGGGATAGTTGGCAGCCAAAAGCCTCTCAAGCCGTTTCCACCACATCCCTGCGTGTTGCAATCCCATCAGAGCATCCCACCCAGTGGGAAAGAGGGCAATGCACTCCTCACTGCATCTCCTGTCACAAGAAACAGTTAACACAGGGTTACCCCGTTCTAGGAGGTGACTACAGTTCACCTGCACTGAAATTTGCACCAGGGCAATCCATGTTTTAATTCTGTTCTCTGGTTTAAAGACTTCTTCCTCCCTCTTGTGTAATATCAGCCTATCTTCTGGAGATGGCAGCATTTCTTACAGCTGTCCAATAATCCTGTCCAGTCCCTGCGCTCACTGTTTATTCCTTGTTCTGATCCTTGCACTGTCAGCATTTCTAGCTGTGGGTTGAGCTGCTCATTTGGGATGCTCAGCGTGGTGTGCCCATCTGCTTGCTACAAAGCATAGGAATATATTTATACACATAAATAAAATACATTTGCAGAGATAAAGGTGCAGATTTGGCTTCCACTCTGAGCTCTGAGATCCCAAGACCTTTACTCACACTCAGAGCAGACAGAGTCCATCCCTCACTGATAAACTGAGGCACTATCAGCCCATGTCTTCCAAGAGGAAGTGGTTTTCCCTATCAGTGTCCAGCAGAATCTTGGAGAGAGATTAATTTTCTCAAGGCTAGAGAAAGATTTGTCTGAAGTTTTGCACATTAAAAAAAAAATAAATCACCAGACCAAAAACTAAACAAAAAGCAGCCAAATCCCTGAAACATAAATATTTTAGCAGTTGAAAAACAGAAAAAATGTTCAAGTTTTTATTTTAGGAAGTAATTTTTTCTTTTCAGGGTAAAGTGCAGGTAGACTGCAGATTTTTAGAAACCTCAGACAAAGCTGAATGTATTTTGGGCTGATTTTCCTCAGGCTGAACAATGAGGAGGCAATGACAATATGTGTATTGAATATGACAATCATCTTTTACTTAAAAATTCCCACTTGTGAGCTGTCCTCCTCTTTTCCTGGCCAATGCCTTTCCCCTGTTCACACCACATGGGCTGACATCACCTAGAAGTGTCTTGCAAAAACTTCATATATTTGATGTTATAATTACAGATGCTCACACCTTCTCTGGCACAACCTCGTAGAAATCCCAAAGCTCTTCTGAGATGCTGCTATTTCTGCTAAACCACGTTGCAATTTTGGCCAGGATTGAACGAGACCTTGCCAGTTTTCCTGCCTGTTGGTTGCAAGAGGCAAAATCCTCAATGTTTTCCTAAACGTTCCCATCAGCTGCTTCAAATTTGGCCTTGAATCAGATTTTTCCCAAGCGCAAAGTACTCAAAATACTACGAGGATGGACAGATGTTTCCAAGCTGATGTATCACCCCCATAAGAAGTAGGAGGATGGAGCTAGGGCTGTTCAGGAGGTCCATGGCACAACCAGGCAGTGGAGCTGAACATCCAAAAGGTGTGAAATGCTCACATGCCAACCCCATGCTCTGATCCAGGGCAAAGAAATCAGCCCTGCCCCTCAACAGCCAGTTAGAGAGAGAAGAAAACCGAAATTGCACTTGGGAAAAAAAGTAATTCCAGGAATTGAAATAACCTCTGAGGAGATATTTGAATGAGAAATCTGAAAATACTCAGGTAAAACAGAGCCTAAGAATTTTCAAATTAGGACCACACTCCTGTTTCACAATTCTTTTTTCCTTCCTGCTAGTGTAAGATATTTTTTCAGTCAGTATTAAGCACACAAAATCGACAGAGCATGTGAAAAAGGCTCACCACCAGAACAGATATAATACAAGAGTAAAGTAGAAAATAAACATTTCTGTAATATTTTCTTTTAAATTACAGTAACGTTACTTCTCTTTTGGGTTGAGATAGTCTTCTCTGTTGCTATTTTGTGCTGCAAGTCAAACTGCCTCAAGATTTAATTTGCATTTAGGTAAAGGGTGTTAATAAAACTTGGTCAATGAAGTAAAGAAACAGAAATAAAAGTGACTTTCAAAAAGGGAAAGCCTATTTTTATGGCAGAAGATCAGTGAAATGCAAAGAAGAATAAAACATAAGCACTGGGATGCTAGTCACTGTTTTGGCATTACTGATTTTGGGATTTCACAGAATTATAAACATGTTTTTCCTCCTCTTTAGCATAACAGCGTCCCTTTAAATCTAATATAGCAGAATAGCTCTCTGAGCTTATTGCTAAAATTCACACTATGTAGTTATGTCAGCTGAATATCTGGATACAAAGATGACTACAGTAAAATAAAACAGAATAATTCAAAAAGAGATTGGACAAAAAACCCCAAACACCATGGGCTTGCATTTATTCTCATGCAATAAAACAAGAAAAATATTCTGAGTTTTGAAAGCACTGATCATTCAGACTCCACTGGAACAGGGTGGGGCATTAAGTGCCTGGTGCCATCTAAAACCAAGGTCCTTGTTTTGGTGTAGGAATATTCCTGTTTTTACTGTTCTTTGCAGAGCCACTCGGCACCTGGAGCAGCTCAGGTAAGCTAAAGCATGAGGGATTCAGAAAGGCACCAGCCCATATGTTTCTGCTTGAAACTCCTTATCTATCCAGTGAAACTTGAAGAAACAAAAAATGTCATCTCTTCAATATTAAAATCCATAGAGGGACTCTACACAGTGGTGCCATGGCTTCTGCCCATGGCAGGGGAGTTGGAAACAGGTGATCTTTAAGGTCCCTTCCAACCCAAACCATTCCATAATCCTAAAATGATTTCCATAAAAGACATTCTGACAGCCACACTGTCCTTTGAGCCGTGGAAAACCATCCAAGGTTGTCACAGCTCCCCTGCTCTGGGTGACCTTCCCACAGTGAGTGATCTCTGCTGGCTTGCAAAGGTCAGAGGAGAAAAAACAGGAGCTGAAAATCAATCAGAGCCCAGAGCGCCTTTGGCCTGGGCAGCCCCATTCCAGCTTGTCTCTCTGTGAAATCAAGATGGGGAGATCACACAGCTTTATACTGGCAACAACGGCTTGGGATGAGATGGATGGACATTCTTCCTCCATGACAGGAGGGCAATGCTGTTCTGCTGCCCAGAAGTGCAGAAGAAAAATAATCTGGCTTTTTGAGCCTGGCACCCATGAATTTTTCAGACACTCACTGCTTTTCCATCCTTCAGGTTTTCAGTGGCTGGAAGCACCCCCTTGAACAGACAGTAAATCCCACCTGGATCCTGACATGACTCCATTTGGTCTCTCCTCTTTTTGCCATGGTCTAATGAGGGAAGGGGACACTTGCCTGCCTGCACTGCCTGAGCCTAAAGCTGCATACTGTCCCTGCTGTGTCCATCCTGAGCCTGATCTACAGCTTCCAGGCCAGGCTGGACTACAGACAGCATAGTTCAGCTGCTGGCCTCAGTCAGTATCCCTCTGGAGATACAGGCAGCAATCCCTGGAGGAAAAGCTCCCTCTTAGAGCTGTGACTGTTGTGAATGTTTTATCTCTTCAATTAAATATTGATTTGCTTTGCTTTTGGAGTTGTGGCACTTGTATTTTCCTCTGAAAACTAGCCATCACCCCCCTCCTTCTCCCAAGTAGGAAGTTAATTCCTTTCCTTGCCAGGCAAGGATCCATTCCCAGGACACGTTATCCTCATTATCAGTCCCAAAGGTGTTAAACATGAATGCCTGGGCTCAGTGTCACAGCACTTCCTAGATTCTCCGTTATAAATTTAACCTGTCTTGAAACAGGTTACACATCCCACAGATGACTGGGATCTACCACAGAGACCCTGACCCTGCAGAAGAAGCTCCTACTGAGCAGGTCCTAGCCTTACACTGAGCAGTGCTTTGTGCCACTAAATCCTGGGGCTGAGCAGGGACTGGGAACATCATAACAAAACCCTGAACAAGCAGCCATGAGGCAGTGCTGCTCTGAATTTGAGCTAAGAGATATCAATCATGTGTATTATTTAATTGGTTTTGGTTTGGAGTCACAAGTGAGATTTTGGGTGGTGCTCTGTGCTTCCCCTGTGAACTGCAGAACCACCAGTGTTGACACCACTTAAGAGTAACTGGGGGCAAAGAAGTGAATGGCAGTGTGTTTATCCTCCAAAACTAGTGTTCCTTGAGTTGGCTTTGATCTAGGCTAGCTGCAGCACAATGCTTCATGGTCCAAGAGGTTCAGATAACACATCAGCGTGGGCACCTTACCCTGGCTGTAGGTGCAGCCTTAGGCCAGGGTACCAGGATGCAGATTTTACCAGCAGATTTTACCTCAATGAGTCTTGGATGCCATAATCCTCAAATACACCATCCCATCCCCAGATTGATGTTGGGAAAGCAGATTAAATTTCTGGAGACATTTCTTGTGTGATTAATCTGAAGATCCCTTCCCTCAGCACCACTTCATGTCACAGGTGGACCCCAGCAGGATGAAGCCCTTCACTAAGTATTTGTATTTCAGTAAAGCATTCTCAGCCTGTGGAAGAAAGTGTCAGATCCTTGTCTTACCTTGGTCTGGAACGTGCAGAAGACATGAGTGAGGAATGGATGCTCCCAAGCCAAGGAGAGGACTCTCTTCTCCACCATTGTACACTCAACATCATCATCCATCAGCACCACATCCTTCTTCAGGGCTTTCACAGCAAAATACTGGTCTGTGCTCTTCAACTCAGCCAGGAACACCTAAAATGGAAACAGCTGCTCAGAAAGAGGGATTATCTCCTCTCAGAACAGCCATGTGAGCGTGGGAGCTGAGCTCCTGGGAATTCACTGGGGTACACCTTAAAAACCTTGATCCTTAAGGCTGCATTCTGCCATTGAAGACTTTGGGTTTGCTCCCCAGACCCAGAATAGTTTTATGAACTCCTGGAGAAGGACGAGAAGTTCTTGGCAACTACAGGAGCAGGGTCCTCCATGCTTGGATGGACAGGACATGCCAGAGAGCCAAACACCTCTGATAACAAAAACCATCTTCATGCAAATGCTCCTGAGATACATTTCCTGTGTTCTGACTTCAAATAACAAAACACAGATTATTGCTTTGTCAGCATTTGAAATGCAAATACCCTGCACCAGATCTTCAGCAGCTGGAAAATAATGTCCACCAGTATCTAGACTGGTTTTATATAAGATGTCTTTCTCTCCTTCCTCCCAGTTTTCAGGTCTGAACACACAGGCTGGGTCTCCCATGCTTTTGCAGGAGTTCTTCTCTGAAAATGGGAAAACACATCCCAGAGGAGTTATGACCTCTGTCTATTTTTATAGACAGGGAAAATGAGCCCTGGAGCAGCAAAGAGTTTTCTAGAGACCACAGAGCAAAGAGATCTCTGCTGGAAGGCAGTGACAGCCCTGATCTTCACACTAACAGCCCGCTGACCCTGTTTCTATAGACTGAATAAATGTATAAGATTCATCAAAGAGGTCTTTGAAGTTCTCTACCAGACGTTATTTACTGAGTAAGCTCGGACACGTTTTAGCCCTGACAAAAGTTTTATTTACCCTTTTGGCTACTGCTGCATTTCACTTTGTAGCACCAGACAGAGAGTAGAGCCTAGAGCCTCCCTCTGTCTCTGCACTGAATGACCAGAAATGCTCACAGTGCTGATGCTGCAGGCACCCTTTTTACCCTGATGTTTGTGCTGGGCACTGCTCTCCTGGGGAAACTGGGGAATGTGCTGCATTTGTGACCTGTGCTGTGACTCCCAAGGAGCAGATAGGCAATGCCAGATCATGTACAGAGGTGGTAGTGGGAGATATCCTCATGGATCTTCCCCTCAACCTCCAAGGATCACCCAGAGCTGGAGAGACTCCTTGGGCACTGAGATCTGCACATCTTGTCCCCTCTATGGGGAAGTGAATCTCGCTCCAAGCAAATGAGGGCACCAGGAGCGACACCAACACAGGAAACCTGTGGGTGAGTTTTTGTTGCAGAAAGGCATGAAATGGCCCATCTTCTCCACACCCACAATGTGCACTTTAGAGAGATGCAGAAGCTTGCAGACTTGGAGAGTCTATGCAGCATGAGGGCTAAAACAAGGTACAGAATGTTCTTCAATGTAATTCAAGACTTGAATAGATGAACACCTGAGCAACCTCATCTCATAGACCTATTTTGAGGAATGTTTAGATTAGAAGACCTCCAGAGATGCTTTCCTTCCAATAAAAATGCTTCTATTATATCTGAGCTCTTGGTTTCAGGATCATCTGGAATGTGGGTTTGGGAAATTCTGGTTTAGCTGTGAGATGCCTCAGCTCTGGTTCCCATGCAAACTGTGGACATAACAAGTAGACACAACACTTTCTAGTAGAAAGTTTCTATGTCCACTGAGTTGGAACTAGATGGTCTTTAAGGTCCCCTTCAACCCAAAGCATTCTATGATTCTATTACTTTCAAGTATGAAAGGCCAACACAGGAAATATTCCACCAGCTGAAGAACTGGCTGCAGCAATTGCTCCAGATCATTTAGCAGGCAAAAAGCAGCCCTTTGTCAAGGCACAGTTTCCCCCTTGGAAAGGTGTGGGATGCGAGCAATGTGATCCATACTCCTTCTTCTTATTGGCTGTGAAAATACAACGTGGAGTCCCTCTGAAATCACTTCTCACAGCCTTGTGCTGGCACTGAGTAACATGAGTCCCCTCACAGGGGATATCTGCAGCAGGGAAGAACAATCCACAATTCATCAGGATTAATGAATCCACTGAAAACAGAACATTCTTGTTTCAAAATCACAAATTCTTGGCTGTTGCAAAATTTTCTTTGGGCTCCAGCACAGATCAGAGCTGGGAAAGAGCAGTTACTGTTCCCAGCTGGGGACCTGCTGCTCTGGAGAGCAGAGGTGATCCACACTCAGCTTCTCAGCTCATGATGCCACCTCCCTGTGAAGAGGGACAGCATAGACACCTTTCCCACCAGCTCTCTGGGGACATCCAGGATCCATCAACCTGCACAGAAGGGGAAGTTGAAGCCCTACCTGGGGCATTCCTGTCCTGTCATGGATAGTCATGAGAGAGCAACTAATGGGACAGGGAGAAGGACAAGGTGAGGAGAAGATGGAGTTCAGGATTCAGCCAGAGCAAGGATTTTATGAAGACTTGGAGAATTATCAGCCATTGTGTGGCAGCAGGACTGAGGCAGTGACCTGTACTGGGCACTGGAGAGGCCACACCTCATATCCTGTATTCAGTTTTGGGTCTATCACTACAAGAAAGACACTGAGGTACTGGAGTGTGTCCAGGGAAGGGAATGGAGCTGGGGAAGGGGCTGGAGTACCAGGAGCAGCTGAGGGAGCTGGGAAAGTGGCTCAGCCTGGAGAAAAGAAAGCTCAGGAGGGACCTTGTGGCTCTGCAAAACTCCCTGACAGGAGGGGACAGCAGGGAGGGGTCAGGCCCTGCTCCCAGGGAACAGGGGCAGGACAAGACAAAATGGCCTCAAGTTGTTCCAAGGGAGGTTGAGATGGGATATTAGAAAAACTTTCTTTGCTAGGAGAGTGATCAGGCATTGGATGGGGATGACTAGGGAAATGGTGGAGTCACCTTCCCTGAAAGTGTTCAGAAAACACGTGGATGTGGCACTTGGCACTTGGCACTAAACCACAGTTTAGTGGTGGACTTGGCAGTGCTGGCTTAGCAGTTGGATGCAATAACCTTAGAGGTCTTTTCCAACCTAAACAATTCCATGCTTTTTCCTAAGTGTCCCTTCAAACCAGATGTTATTTAGTGCCACACAAAGCAACATGTGAAAGCACACAGTAGTGTCCCAGTCCCAGTGCTTACCTTGCCAAAACTGCCCTTCCCCAGCATCTTGTGCAGGACAAAATCTTCAATGGTCAGTTTTAACTGCACTTGGTGCTCCTGCTGTTCCTGGGACTGTCCTCCCAAGTCTGACTCTATGAGAGACTCCCCCTTCACTGTGCCCTCCACTGGAGTCTCCCAGGAGATGCCTTGTGGCTCTGCAACACACATCAAAGCACTCACATAAACCCCTGGACAGGAGCAGAAAATTCCCAGAATATTCACAGGTTTTCTGCTTAGAGGTTTAAAAGGGTATTTCAATCAAATGGAAGTGTGGTGGCCATCTCTAAGTAGACTGGCTCTGCTCCCACACTGTTTTCTCTCCAGAGGAAGCTTTACTCCAGTGGAAACTGCATCTTCTTCAGTAGCTTTTTTAAAATTTACAAATCACTTTATAAACTCCTTTATCTGTCTTTCTGTTTTGTGGCACCAAATCCTTAATTTCTGGCCACCTGTCTTCGCCAGTCCTTGCTGCTTGCCATTACAATGTGGTTCCATTTCTTCAAGGTCTTTTCAAAACCCTAGGCAAAGCTAGATGAAAAGGTGGGATGGCATTCCGGATGTGAAGCATTCCAGAGCAACCATTCCAGCCATCCTGGAGTAGAATCACTCAGAGTTTTTTCAATACTCCACTAGCCTGGATTTATAAGAACTTGTAAGAGACTTTGTCCCCCACTGGATCTATCCCATTGCTGTAACTGTTCTAAACCACAGAACACTACCCAGGAGACAAACAGTGAACATGTGAAACAGTTGTGAAGCCACCTGAGGCTTTACTGTTTCACACCAGCATAGTCAATTCTACTTGTTGAACAGAACAAAAAGAAACAGAGATGGGGACATCATTTATTTCTCCTTGGGGTCCAAAGGAGACAGTCTCTCATGTACCCTCCTACACATCTGTTCTTGTAGCATAGAGAGCTGTGACACCTAGATCAGCTCCTGGGTGAGTGGAGGTCTATCAGTGATTTTCAAAGCTACCAGAAGTCAACCTCCACCCAAAAATATGAAATCAGAAAGAAAATTTTCCATGGTGATCAGAAGAATTCCAAATATTCTGTTTAGAGATCAGTAATAAATTCCCCGCTCCCCTCCAACTAACCACGTACCAACCAAACAACAATAAAGCTGCTGCTCCATATTACCAGGAGGAATTACCTTTTTTTGTGGATGCTGGCAAGGCCTGAAGTGGTGTCACATCCTTCACAGGGACAGGGAAGCCGATTTCCAGAGGTCCATCCCTGGAGATCTGTTCACTGTCACGCTGGCAGCGAGCCTGGGGCACAAAAAGCAAATTTTTGAGCTGAAAGTCTCGTGCTGAGCTTATGAACAATACCATGACTTCTTGAGCGTGACTCACAAAAACCAAGATCTAGAAGAGGTCTTTGCTTATGAGAAAAGCAACTAAAAATCCTTAAACCATTTACCTGCTGAGTGCTCTCTATCATTGCCAGAGCTTCAGCCATTAGTTTCTGGTTCACTCCACAAAGATTTGCTACTTTTGTCTGGCACTTGTGGTGGACGTTCATGCCACACTCTGAAAGAAAGAACATGAGGTGTCAGGACAGTGAAGGCTGTAAAGGGTTGGGTGGGAGCAAGTGCTGCTGTTGGTCAGGGGCAGAGATCAGCCACCTTTAGAGTTATTGAAATGGCACTCAGGTGATTTTTTGGTTCCCTATGGAGACTAGTTTTGTATTTTCTTCTGGCCAGAGGTTGCATTTCCACATCCATCAGCATTTGCAAGCACAGGCTACCAAAACTACAAGCCATTACCTCAGAGATAAACTGTAATCACAGAATAGGATTCTCCCATTGGTTTAGGATTATGAAGACAGTGAAATGTCTTGTGCCTGATAGGGGAAATAGAGCTTGCAAGTTCATACTGAGAGTGATTTGGGAAGATCAGCAGTGTCACTGTGATTTTCTTTGTCTCTCTGGGAAGCAACTCATCGTCCTTTTGGATCAAATATCTCACAGTATATGGACAGTTGTCCTCACTCTTGAAGAATGATCCTCCTTGAAGGACAGTCCTGTAGACCACTCCTTCACCCTCCTGGGTGCCACCTCATACTGGTATTGCAGAGAAGAGCAATAAATGAGATTTGGATTTTCAGACTGCCACCCTCCAGAGACAACAAAGGGTCTCTCATGAGTGCCATGCTCAGCTGGTGCCACCTTTTCCAGGGACTCACCATCACACTTCAGCCCCTGCCGTGCCAGGCCCCAGAGGAGGGTGCCACAGTGCTCACAGAAGGTGGGGCTCTTGTAGTTGTAGACTTTGAAGCGGTGAGGCATGTCTATCTTGAACCTCTCCTTGTGGAACTGCAAGACAAAAGCCAGGCTGAAAACCCTCATTTCCACCTCAGCTCCACGTGGAAAACCAAACGTGTGCCACAAACGTTGGTTTGTCCACTGCCCTCTTATCCTCGGGTATGACTGCCAGTCAGAAACTGTCTATCAGGCACACAAACCCAAATTTTGATATATAGTAACTGCAGTTCAGAGGGAATTGGGTCATTTCCTCCCTGGCCTTGACCAAAGGCTTTGCTATATAGTAACTGCAGTTCAGAGGGAATTGGGTCATTTCCTCCCTGGCCTTGACCAAAGGACTGCTTGTGCTTCATTTACATACCCAGGCTCCCCTAATCCTCAATGGGAAAACATTGATACTTTTAAACATTATTCACCTCATCCTGCAATGGATATCTACATTTGTTATCATGAATGACTCCTTGGAAGAGCCTGTTGTAATTCTTTTAGTACAAAAGGTGATGACAGTTTAGAATAAACTGACATGAGAAAAATAAAGCAAATAATAGCAAAGTTATCAGATCTCTCACTGACTGTTTCAGATAACACAGAATGGGATGTTTAAGCATAAATCTGAAAATCTGATGTCCAGCCTAACATTGGATAGTGAAGAGTTTTCTCCAGTAAATCTCCACCTTGTGTCCATGACTTGCCTCTGAGTTGTACTTCATGAATTAGAAAAATGTCAGTTCTGATTCAGCAACTGCTTATTTTGCAGCTGCATTTGAGTAAATCTTAAGTAGGAGGTAATGAAATCACAGGGAACATAAAAAGCACAGGGCACAGATCAGATCACAGAGTCCTTAGCTCAGAAGGACCTTTTTGCTTCATCAGAAGTTGCTTTGCAGTGATGTAGGAGAGATCTGAATGACACTCAAGTTTTTTTAAAAAGGAATCATAATAATAAAATAAAATAACAGCAATAATAATAATAGTAATAGCACCACCTACCATTGTTTCTCTGCTATTGATTGCTGATCCTGTACACTTGGCTATTACTTTGTCAATGCACTTCTTATGAATGGCAGCGTTACATTCTGCAACAGCAAGTGTGTCATGGTGTTAATAAAGAAATTCCGTAAGAAAAGATGAAGTAAATAATGACAATAAAAAACAAAAACTTTCTTACGTCTGCATTGATAGCCTTGTTTATTCAGACCCCTGAAATGAATAGAGCAGTGGTTAGATGAGTTGTCTGACAGCCTCAGTAGAATAAAGGAGAGCAATAATTATCAAAGAAAGAGAACAAAATCACTTTGCTTTCTATCACTCTTTGTAGAGATTATTTAATTTCATTATCTTCATTCAATCTAATGGTGGAGTGATTCTCTGTGGTTCTCATAGCCTTTTCAGCACACATTCACGTCCTGAATTTCACGATATCCTAATAGCAAACTGGACTGATAAGAAATGCCTGTGCATTTCTTCAAACCCAAAAATATTGGTACACAATAAATTAAAAAGTGAGGGGAATTGTCACTGTTGGAATTGCAGCTGCAAACCACATCCTTTAAGTGATGCAATAACTCTACACTTAAGATGCCAAGGGTCTTACAGGAGGAGCACAGATATTCATCAGGGAATCATGGAATCTTTTGGGTTGGAAAAGACCTTTAAGCAGAAAGTGGGTTGTGGAAAGAAGGTGGCTGTAAACTCATGACATTTGATGTTGTGGATTTTGGCCTGTTTGATGGCTCCCCTGCGCTGGTGCAAGGAGAAGAAGCCTTCAGTCTCGCAGTCAGCCAGGTCCTTCGCATCTGGGAGGAGAAAAAAGATAGTTAAGTGTACATTGTCCTGATCAGGCACCTTGAGAAAATGCAGTTGCCCAAATACAACATGACTGAAGCTGATGATTCACTCACAGTAATGAATACTCAAAGAAATACCATTTTATGAAACCACAAAAGTCTCATTTGGATGGTTTTTATCCACCATTCCTACACTAAAATGACTTTAGATTTGAGTGTCTGAGCTCCCTTGACTATTAATAATGCTGCTTTTGGAACGCAGAATGAAAATTTCCCAAGGAGAGGTAATTTAAACATAAAATTCTAACTTTGTATGGCACTGAAGAAGCACACCCTAAAAAGGATGAAATTACATAAAAATTAATTATTACTGATATATGGGCACAAACACACTTGTGTGATATATATATATATAACAGAATCCTTTCTGTGTGCACATACATGTGTCACTAAGCAGATATTTATGTCCCTAGGATATTCTCCTTGTTATGTTTCCATGCCAACACTTACTTTGCTGTTTGTTGTGCCCTTGCTGTTATTCACAGTTATTTAAACTTTTTGGGACAGCAAACAAACCAATTCTGACTTCACGTGCTACATGCACTCGTGCCAACAAATCTGATATTTATGCAGGAAATCGGTGTCTGTTTCACTCCTGCACTGCACAGTGAGTCACACAGGTGACCTGTGGGAACTGGCCCCCTGTGTGATCTGATGCTGATCTTGATATTTGTAATTGAAGCACAGCTTGCATTTTCTGTGCTTTGGCCTCTGTAACACCTTATAACATACAAACAGCAGTCCAATCTATATTAAAGGTAGGGATAGTTAAGAAAATATCAGCATGGCCATGGCTGCTTTCAGTGCTTCTCTGTTTCTATAAACAGAAGAGCCTTCCAGATGTCTGCATCTCACAGCTTCACCCTGCACCTGAGGATATGAGAATTTTTGCAACAAAGATGGGAGAATAAGACCAAGCATTTGAATTAAACCCATTCTCTTCAACAAAGCAGAATGCAGCCCTTTAGACAAGAAATTTTCCCTAACAGCCCTAACCTTCCCCTGGCCCAGCCTGAGGCTGTTCCCTCTCCTCCTGTCCCCTGGAAGCAGAGCCTGACCCCCGGCTGTCCCCTCCTGTCAGGGAGTTGTGCAGAGCCACAGGGTCCCCCAGTCCCTCTTTTCTCCAGGCTGAGCCCCTTCCCCAGCTCCCTCAACCCCTCCTGGTGCTCCAGACCTTTCCTCAGCTCCATTCCCTTCTCTGGACATGCTCCAGCACCTCCATGTATTTCTTGTGGTACATTAAGCAGAATGATTTCAGAGAGAGCTAGCTGCTTCTGTATCTCTTCTGTCTTGTTTAGCATAATGGGAATATCTGCCATTTAATGGTAAACCAGCCAAAAAATCTGCCTTGCAAATCTCAGAAGAATAGTCACCATGCAATAAAAATTACTTTTCAGGAGTTTTCTTTTCAAACAGTTGTGTTTGTTCTTATGGATCAGTCAGTAATAACATAGGCACTGCTTTTAGTGAAGAAACCATGTCTGCCCCACAGCCCAAAAATCACAGCTATAAATTAACAAACAGAATCACTTGCCACTTATTTCCAGGAAGTATCTTGCATTCATCAGCATTCGCCCTTGAGGCTTCAGTTCTAGCTGGTTGAGATAAGTGAAAAATAAGAAAAAAAGTCCATTAAACAGTCATTCAGAGAAGGAAAAATCATTTCAGATGACTTTCAAGCGATCTCCTTTTCCCAGTGGGAGCTGATGAATATCAATGAATGCTAATTTTCAGGTTGCTCATACCCATGTGAGGCAACAAGGCAGGGTAGGAGCAACTACAGAGAGAGGAGGGCTGATCACCTCATATCAAACACTCAGAGCAGCATGATAGGAGAGATGAATGTGATTAAACCACAGAAGACGTAGGCAGCTTTTTAGACACCAAATTAGGACCAGCACTATCTATAGAGAACACTTGTTCCCAATGGATTCTGTAAGGGGAAAGTGGGAGAAGTTCAAAAACCCCAGCCAGTTTCAGACAGGTGATGCTGAAATTTTTTAGGCACTCAGTTCTGCAAGCCTAACTTCTTTACAGTCAACCTGAGGGATGCTACAAGCTTATTCAGGCACTTTCTGGGACTTGGCAACTCCCACCTGCCTGATTTATCATCCATAAATACCTTTGCAAATCTGAATCCACTGGATTATGCATAATCTGGATGCTACAGTTTAAAGATTTCTGCCAAGATCTTTCTTGCTTGGACTACCAGGGAACACAGCTTTGCACTTAGCATTCTTGTGAAGAATGTTCAAATTTACACCACCATAACTTCAGTGATTTTTAAGGAGTTGCTCTGACATAACTCTGAACTCAGGCAGCTGTGAATCAGCTACTTGATATTAGATAAAATTTTTAAAGCTGTTGCCCCAGAGAATATAAAATGACTCATGTTCAGCCAGTCATACTAGCACTTATTCCCAGTGGGTTTCCTCAGCAAAGATTAATACGTGGGCACAGCTCACCTGAAGCAGGATCCTCACTAGCATAGGGTAGGTTTCAATTAAAATAAAAGTGCCAAGCTCTTCTCCTCTGACAAGTCTCTTCCTCAAATCGCACCCAAGTAGTCTGAAAACATTATTCCAGCCAGTCCCCACTGGTGACAGCCATAGCCTGGCATGGGCACAAGAACACATGCCCTTACCCTGCAGCAGCTCCCCAGCACATCCTGCAGGAGGAGAGAGTGATGCTCACCCATATCTCTGTCTTCCCATTGCTCTTTTTGCACCTCTCTGCCAGCACCTTGAGCTCCACTGTGGTTTCCGAGACCATTTCAGCACTTTTGTCCTTGACCACAATGTGCATGACCCGGCCATTGTTAATGTGGGCATCAAAAGTGCTGTTCCAGGGTGGGTACATGGTGGGCTTCTTCTGCACGTACACTTGGCCATTCTCTGTCGAGAAGGAGAGTACAAATCCATGCAGTGAGGGTGGTTCATGAGACCAAATACAGATACTTACCCTAAAGAAAGTAATTTCCATCAGTTCTGTTGAGGAGATCTCTAATGCTGAATCCAACACCATAAATACCCACTTCTAATCAGGTAAACTCCATCCCAGACCACTCCCTTGTTTATCATTGTGATAGATTAACATTTAAGAAAACAAAGAGAAACACCTAAGGAAGTTAAAGCTGCTGGAGGCTGGTAGGAGTTTTTCTCCCAGCCAACAACTAGCCACTTCTAAGAAGTGACAGCAGATTTGACCATTGAAAAGTGAGATCAACCTATGAACACCACCTTAAGACCTAAGCCTGGGAATTTGTCTCTTTGTTTCCTGGCTGTGAAAGGTAACTGAGCTTTAGCTGGCTTCCTGTTCCCTGCCCAGGCCATGCGGCCTGGGCCGGGGCTGGGCTGGGCCTGCCGCGGCTCCCGGCCCGGAGATGGGGCCTGCAGAACTTGCCCCAGGCCCAGGCCGAGCCAGGCCGGTGCCGGCCAGTCCCTGGCTCAGCTGCAGATTTTGCTGTGACTCAATTCACCAGAGACTGCCAAGTAAAGAAAGAAAAACGCTCTTGACCTGCGGTGGGCTGAGATAGTGACTACACTCTCCAGAGCAGCCATGAAAAATCTTCCATCGCAGACAGCTCCAGACGCTGCTCCGGCAGAGATCACAGAACCATCTACAAAGCCTGAGCAAGATTTTAACTCTTTCACTACCCAGATGAGACTTGTAGATTAATCCTTTTTTTTCCATAGAGAGAAAGAGAGAGTAATCAACATGTAAAGAGACTTTATAAACTATCAGAGACAGTAAAGAAAGAAATTAAGCTTCAGAAGAGGTAGAGAATAAGGAGATGCTTTAATAAGCTGAAATATTTTTCTGTTAAAGCTATGGAAATGGACAATAGTGTTCTGAAAAAACTCCTTTAATTCATGACAGAGCATACTGGGAGGAATAGAGTAGTTCAAAGTGTGGATTTTGAGCAAAAAGTAAAGTGATTGTGATACACTGAAGTGCTGGAACAGAGAGAAGTTGAAGATTTGTACCTTTGTAGAGGCAAAGAGAAAACTTCTGCTTCCAGGGAGGCTCACAGAGACAGAAGAAGAGAACTTTTGCCTTTGAATAACTCATCCTTAAAAAATTACATCCCTAGACTCATTTGACCCATAACACACCTCAGAGTGATGTGAAATGGGAGGAGACTACTGATGGAAGATTTTTCCGGGCAGCTGGCATCAGAGAAATAGAAAGCTATAACAGAAATAGTTTTCTTGTGAGAAACTCAATAGATTAGCAGAATAAGACTTCTGTTTCTCTACAAAAACTGATGGAAAGACTATAGTAAGAATTGAGACTGTTGTAAACACCAAAGTTTTTTTGTCTCTATGTTGTCATGTGAAAAAGAGAATGGTTGGGTAGTGAGGGGAAAAAGGATTTTCTGGAAGTTTTATTCTGGTTTTCTTATTCTTGTAGTTTTGTTAATAAACTTTCTTTATTCCTTTTGAGTTTTAAGCCTGTTTTGGTCTTGTTCTAATCCATATCTCACAGCAAAAAATAAGTAAGTTTTCTAATGATTTTTTAGCTGCTGCTTTAAAACCACAACATTTATCTGTCCCAAGGCACTGCAAAATGACAGGTGTGCTTCAAATCCCCCAAAAGCTGGGTGCACTTTGGGATTAATGTCCAGTCCAGTAGCCAGCTAAGGGATGTTAAAACATGAACTGTCCTGAAGACCTGTAACCATCCCTCAGGGATGTAGACAGAGCCAGGTTTACTTCATACAGTAAAAACCTTAGTTAAGGTAAATTCTATATCACAGTTACCCTCTGCAAATGCCCAACCCATCAAATGCTGAAGCTGAAGGAATAAAAAAAAAGCAGCAACCTGTGATCCCTGTCTAAAGACCCTGCTTCTATTTCCAATAATCCCAGATGGAAAATAACATGCAGCTGATAGCCTGGAATGTGACATGTGCTGAAGAAAATCTTTCCCTAAATGAGAGGACTAATTCACAAAATATCAGAGACAAAAATGAGACATGAACTTTCCAGCATCCCAGGAAACAGAAGTCTCAGTAAAGGACCATTATTTCTTTAATGCATCAGTGAAAAAGCCACAGATGTGAGACACAGTACTTGCAAAACAAGTGCTTTCATTTGCCTTGCACTCCAGGACACCAGACTTAAATAAACAAACCCTGGAATGTGAATGAGCTGCCCGATAGATGGGATCAGACAGTCACCCCTGATGCGTCCCCGCTGACGGCTGTGGAATTCTGCCAGGGATTAATCCAACCCCGGGTTCCTGAAAAATGAAATAGCAACTGTCTTTCCTGGGGAGCATCTTCCACTGTAGCTGGGAGCGCTTTTCCTGGAGGCTTTGCTGAGTTCAAACCCAGAGCAGGATCCTTCATGAAGCAAATGTCACCAAGGCAGGTGGCAAAATGGCACTCGGCCAGGTGGCTTGTGAAGGCAGAAGCCACTTTTAAAGGGCAGACTCTTTTTATATCTCAGAGGCACATATAAGTTCTGAAATATTTTGTCGTCAGTTATAAATTACTGTAAGACCTCCAACTGTATGGAGGTATGTTTTGTTTTTTGGAGTTTCTTTTGTTGGTTTTTTTGGTTTGGCTTTTTTTTTTTTCAGATTGTATTATAATGTGCCAGGGTCTCTTTTACAAAATAAACATGTAAAAGGCTGCCCAAGATCTATCCAGAACTTCTGAAATTCTTCACTGTGGTTTTGCTGTGACATCCTTGTGCCCACAGAGGATGTTCATAACTCCCGGATCCCTGGGGACTTCTGTCCCAATAACATTGTCACTATGGCTGGTTGACAAGGGACAGCCTTTGGCATGAACCCAAAGTCAAACTCCCTGATTTTGGAAACCAAATACATTTATCATCTGCCATTGTTCTGTTTGCAAAATCCCAACCAACAAAAAACAAAACCAAAAAACCTCACGCTTTGCCAGTGCTAAACATAGAACCACAGAATGGTTCATTTTGTAAGGGACCTTAAAAGCCATCCAGTTCCACCTCCCTGACACGGGCAGGGACAACTTCCACTATCCCAGGTTGCTCCAAGCCCTGTCCAACCTGGCCTTGGACACTTAGGCATGTCCTGCCCTGCTCAGCAGTCATTTCTGCTATGAAAAACTTCTTCATGGCCAAGTGTCAGAGCACAAGGCTGGTGGTCAGGATGATTTGCATCTCTCTCCAGCTGTGCAGCTGGTCTACTCCTACTCCTTGGTCATGCCAATTTTTTAGCCTATATATATATATATATATATTTTTTAATCCCATTACAACTGAGTAGTAAGTGCTTGGTCAAACCAGGGAGCTGGAGAGCAAATTATGACCAAAAGAATAATAATCATGAAGCAGGGATAAGACACAATTTAGTGGTGGGACTGCCAGTGTTGGATTAACAGCTGGACTTGATGTTCTTGGAGGTCTTTCCCACTCTTAATGATTCCATGATTCTACCTCAAATATATTTAGCTAATATTTGTCTGGAGACCTTTTGCCTTCTTGAAGCCTGTTAAGAGCATGACAGCTCCTTGGGATGGTGACGCTGAGAGCGTTCCTGGCATTTAGAGCCAGGCTCATCTCCCTGCAGGTCAGACACAGACCTCAGAGTGGTCTGTGCTGCATTGGGCTTTTCCAAGTGTGATTCACCACACTCACCTAGGGCTGACGCATCAGCACCTGGGAATTACAGGGAGGATGGATTCTGTGGTGGCCTCACTTTTCTCACCCTTAAGGTAAAGTTTGCCATCCACACATTTAAACACCCTCCAGCAGCAGCAGATTAACACCTCCCACGGGTCTTCAGCCCACCCGAGGAGGGGAGTCAGAGGTGAATCAGTCCCAGGAGGTTCACTGATGAGATGAGTCCCTCTGGCTGTCCCACCATGCTCTGAGCCAGCACCAGATGAAATTACATCCCAGCAAACAGAAATCTCCTCATAGCAGAAAGTCACTTTTCCTACACTCAGCCCTCACTAATGGGGAAAAGTTCCCTCAAACACAATTTTTTATTTATTTTTGGTAGTGGATTTATTAGAATAATAATTAAAATAATTATAATTATTACAGTAATAAATAAAATAACAATAATTATTATTATAATTATGGATATTGACTCTGAGGAGCACAGAAGTAACATCCCCCATAAAATACTTTTGTGCTTGTTGGATACCAGAAAACACTTTCAGCTCTGTGTCAGACAAATAAATATAGGTCTGTTCTGACCAAATTGGTTTTATACACTTTTGAACTGACAGAGATTTCAATTTGAGTTATGGCTTTCAAAAGCCTCATTAAAGCAAACAGCCAAACTCTGCACAGAGCTAAAATAGAACATATTTTCTGATAAAAGTGAGATCTTAGGGATATCTTGTCATGCAGTATTTTCTTTCCTTTTGAATTTCCTATTCACCACATCTTCCATTATTATTTAAAGTATCATTTAAGGCAAGACAAAGTTCATTGTGATAAATCCTGACTCTTAAACAAAAAATGAACCCTGGTGAAATACTGAACTATTTTAAAATTCTAATTTTTTTAAACTACTTTAACATCCTCTGGGGATTACAGTCATAGGGATTCTCAATAAATAGGGATTTCTGACTGGATTTTATTTTTCAAAGTATCACAGCAGTCAAATTAGAAATTTATCAAAGATTTAAGCTAAATATCAGCCAACAGAGTAATTCTCTAACACTGAAGGTCTTGCTCTTCATGATTCTTCAAAAGCACAACCAGAAAACTTTACATCCTTTCACTGGAATTATTCTCATGCATAAGACATATGATAAATGTTTTCCAAAGGAGGACTCATCAGTGTTGTTCCACCAGGATAAATGTGCAACAATCCGTAGATCCAGACACAGCAAACAGCTTTTCAGGAGGTTTCATTTTCCAACCTTTTACACAGCACAGCAATTACACAGAGAAATTAACTCTCTCTGCAGAGACTGGGCTGTTTGAGTGCCTTTTTTTAAAAATAATTATGGAAGTGGATGGGTCTGTCAGTTTCCCCCCGAAAAGGTGATTAACAAAGATTGCCCTGCCAGAATATTTTAGCACACTCAGTTTTCACCTGTCTGGTTTGTACCACTGTCAAACCAACAACTGCTCGTGGAAAGGTGAAACCAAATACAGCTCATCTGCTCTGTCACATGCTGGGGCTTGTAATGCAGCTGATAAAATCCTCAAATTGAAGACACAGATTTGTTTGGCATCATCTTAAAGTCAGATTGCCTTGTAGACCACACCAAATCCAAACTTGCACTGTGCTGGGACCCACAAAAGGCTTCACAAATCTTTTTAACATGGGGTTAGAAATGGATGATCTTTGAGGTCTCTTCCAAGCCAACCTATTTTATGGTTCATTCTGTCATTTACCAGTGCATTACCCACACACAGGAAATGACAGAAAAGCACAGACATGACTTATAAAAGCCCCCATCCACACTTCACCCCTCCCCACTCACCTGACTCCACGGCTTCTTTAACCATCACAGCACAGTAGGGGTTAATCACCTCCCCCTGGGATGGCAGGTAAGGGCCGCTGTCATAGTTGGACAAACCAATACGCAGGAAGGGAGACATGACAAGTCCTGTGCCAAACAAAAGACAGGCAACACTTGGGAGAGGGTCTAAAAATTGCCCTGGTTTTAGCCAGCCCCTTATCTCCGTCGGACAGCGGGACGCCGGCCGCTAGTTATCCATCCAGCTGGAGCCTCTCTGACTTCCTTCCACCGACTGACCCGGCCCTGCTGGACGTGCCCAAGGTACTGAAACTCAACTGCTGGCTTAACCACAGAGCTGAACTCATCACAGGACTGGAAAAACCCACAGGAGCAGCTCTGAGCACTGATGACTTCACACCGACCGTCGGGAACGAGGATGACAATGCACAGGAGTCACAAATCAGAGCTTTCTTGGCTTGGGATAAACCTCTGCTGTAATTTATGTTGAGTCACATCAAGACTCTGAATGCTATGAGAACAGAGAGAGGTTTGGGAATACTGTTGGAAGCCTGCAAGCTGAATGTGAAACTGTGAAATAACTGTGCACTATTTATATACAGCATGGAAAGGAGCTCAGGCATTCCTGGGTGCTGAACCATATTCACAAGTGAAGCTATAAAGAGAAAGTTCAGCTCATATGAACCACGTTCTATAGACAGTGAAACAAAATACCCCACCAGAAAAAACAGCACTTTGGGATTTATTTTAAGCAGCTGAAAACAGAAACAAATACAGTCAAGGTGCCAGGAAACACTACAAAAACCTTTGACTTGAAACAGTACAAAACTTTCTCTGCCTGGTCTTTCAAAGCCTTCAGAGAGAAGATTTAGTGAAACCAGAAATTATTAACTGCTGCAGCTAGTGCCCATCATTGTACCATCTGGGCCCAAAACTGGGATTTACCACCCAACTTTAGTCTCATCATCTGAGCTTGTCATTCCTGGATTCTCTTCCAATCAATGGGGAGCAAGAGGCACTTTGAACTCAGCTGCAGATGTCTGTCTTGGACCACCAGAGTTAAAAGACATCAGTGCTATCACCAGCTGTTATCTGTCAAATATATTGACAATGACACATTGTTCAAGCACAACAGCAAAAGGATGAATGACTTGTGGTGTGGGATGCAGCCAAGTCTCTTCTGCATTTTACACATAAAAATGATCTTTCTGGAGGGAAGCTTCTTAAGCCTCACATGGAAGAAGTTCCATGTTCTTTGCTGGGAACAGCATTTTCTTACCTGTAAATGGTATTTTCCTGACAGATAAGTTCAGTCTCTAAGAGGGGCTTCTCTTTTCATCACTGTTGTGGACACCATGGAAAGGTTTTTCTCAGCTGAAGAAATAACTGCTCCTCTGGCCAGGCTGACTTCAAAACCTGCCTCTCTGTTCAAGGACACAGGAGGCAAGACCATCAAGGAGAGAGGAAAACTTGAGGAAACAAGAGGAATCCCTTTGCTTGAGTGTCTTCTCTCCTCCCCAGCAGTGTGGAGCAATGAGTTTCCATCAGCCCCTCGTACAAAAGTCTGGGGCTGCTACAAAACCCAGAACAACTTTTCATCAGCGCACGGCCAGGTTGCAGCAGGTTGTTGTTCCACTTGTATCCTGGATCTGATGAGATCTTCTCCTTCCTTCCTGTTTTATAAAACAAACAGCTGCAGTTATTGCTTGGTCTGGAACAACAAATCTTCTGGCTGAGTATTCATAAGCACTGAGCACTCACATTCCAACATTTTCCGACACAGATGGCTCATGAAGCCAACTGTCCATGTTCTCTGACAAAGAATTTGCCTTCCCAGAAGGTTTTCCTGAATTTACTACTCTACATCAGGCCAATTTATATGATAAACAGCATCTGAAGACTCTCATTCCCATTTGAGCTCCTGGATGTGTTAGCCAACAACCAGGCTGAGTTTTCAGGAAAACAGGAAAAAGTCACAAACTGTCTTGGATACTGCACTTAAAAGAGAAGAAAACCATCATTCTGAGGAAGAGACAATGGAGCAGAGAAAGAGGAAAATGTCCTGTGACTCATGTCCATTGTGTATCTCTAGGAATGCAGAGGTCATGGATCTCTGCATGTGGCATTGCCCTCGACCAGGAAAACATCAGGCTTCTGCAAATTCCCAGAAGTTGGGGGAGAAGGCAAAGCACCAGGTGATGCTGGATATAGGCAATCAAGACAATCCTGTTCTCCTCTGGATGAGGGCAGCATCACTGAAGGATGTTTCACATTAGCCAAGTGCCTGGTGAAGCTGCTTTGGAGAGCCACTTGCATTTAGACAGATCCTCAAGCAGAGACCTGTGGCACTGCAGAGAAGTATAGTGAGTGGTTTGTGAGTGCCCCATGGCAAGAAAAGGCTCGAAGTTCTGCCTCAGCTGTCAGAAGCAGAGAAACCAGATCAAATTAAGAAAGAAAAAATCTCTTCAGTGGAAAGAAATATATGCATGTTTATTTTCAATCTCTGTGTGATGCAGACATTTATTATTACTTAGACATTTCCTTTGTTTCAAAAAACAAGAAGCCTATGAAGTCTAAAGACTAAAGGAAAAACAAATCAAAGGGTTTCTGGCAGCAGAAGAGAAATACAAGGAACTGTATATACTATAGCATCAGTGTGGAAAGCTAAAGATGGCCAAAGACTAAAACCAACAGGCAAAACATCTTCATTGAAACTCTGTGTGAACAGAAATGTCTTCTCTGCCTTTACCATACTCCACCAATTCTGGTCACTGCTGGGCAAGAGAAAATTATGATCCTCTTCCAAATCCCTATTTCCTATTTCTGGCTTTAAGAACCTGTTTTTCAGCAAGCAAGAGCAGGAGAAAGTGCAAGGGGTTAAGCATTCCCTTACCAGGACTTTCCAAATTCACCTTTAAAAGCTCAGAGTGCCAGTCAGAATTATTAGTCAGTATGCTGGTCATCTAAGAACATGAGTGCTGCTGAAAGAATCCAAAGATCTTTTGATGGTTCCTCAGCAGTAAAATGTGGTGACACTATCAACTCAGGTGCTAAAGAAATAAAATCAGGACTAAATGTCTGAGTTGAAATTTATCACACTTCAATTAAATCAATGTATTCACAACATAGGTAGAACTGTGAAAGCATCTTGTCCTGCTAAATACTCCTACCACTGTTCCAAAAATTACTGCTTGGATGTGCTACAAGGCCTGTTCAGGTCTGTGGATCAGTTCCACAAGCAGTGACATTTAAAATTTTCTTTCATCTTAAATGCTGGATGTTCCCTCCCTCCCCTCCAGTGCAACACTTCATTTTGGCTCTGTGCAATCAAGCACCTCCTGATCAGGTATCCCAGAGATGTTGTGGAATCTTCACTCCTGAAATATTCAAAAGCCATCTGGGCAGGATCCAGGGCAGCTCCCAGTGTCCCTGTTTGGATGGGAGAGTGGGACACAGAGAGGTCACTTCAAAGCTCACACAGCCCATGCTTCTGTGAAGACACAGTGGGATAGATCTCACCAAGAGCCAGATGTCTGCAGCATCTGCATCCCCATGTCAGGCAGTCACCTGCACTCCTGAGAGAGGAATTGGCACCCTCAGATCCTGAGCTGGAACCACCTGTGTGAGATTCCCCTCCTTTGAGAGCCAGTGGGAATATCTGGGGATGATCTGTTCACAGGAAGCACCTTCACTGGAAGATCTGGTTTTGATCTGATTCCTCAAACCATTAAAATTTCAATGGATCCCTTCAATGTATCAAATCTAAAAGACTTGTGCTGGGACTTCACACAAACCAGTTTATTGCAGGAGATGCTCTGCAGCCTCCAGCAAACAGGTGAGAATTTTTCACCAGCTGCAAAGCACGTGGGTTTGGCACAGCCAGAGTCAGCACTGATACCAACAGCTGCCCTTCTAAGCTTTGCAAAGGCTGGCTCAAGCTTGCTAAAACCAGAGTTTACTGCCATACCAGCCTTGTGTGAGCACTCTGCTCTGGGGTGGATTTCTTTACCCTGCCCAATAAATCAGACAGATAACTGGTTTCCTGCTTCTCTCCCACTCTTTCCTGAAACCACCTTGGCTTTGGCCCAAACATCTGTTTTCCAGGTCAGATTTCCAGTGTTTGCCACTACAGGACTGCTACTTGGCTGGCATCCATGGCCATAAACAATTAAGCAACAACACAGCTCCAGCATGGCTCGCTGTAATAGCAGCAGTTTAATTTAACACCAGAAACAGCTGCACTGGATATGGAGAGTGTCTGCTTAATTTCCCAGTGGAAAGGATACTGTGAGGAATCTGAAAACCAAGGATGAAATGCAGTTTTCTGTAAGAGGCCACCTGCAACCTCTCCTACAGTGAAACATTAAATACAGAGTAATTGGGGTTCAGCAATGCTGCACCCCACTTTGCTGGCACAGGGGAGCTCTGCCCACTCTGGAGAATAATGCAACATATGGAAATCATTGCCAGATGATATTAGGAAGTAATAAACTCCTTAACATCCTTAATCAATTGTGGTTAAGTAGAAAGGAAGAAATGAGCTCCTGCTCCCAGCCAGCAGAAGATCTGGATGGAGCACAGCTGCCTGTGATGGGATTTGTGCTTTTGCCTTTCACTGACTGAAAAAGGATGCATGTATGACACAGTAAAGATGGCAATTTACTGAACAAGGGCCAACTGAAAAGGGAAATATTTCTGGATTTGAGATGCTGCTTTCCTAATGTCATCAAAGTGTCATTTTCTCGAGGTCAGAGGGAATATTTCTAGCTGTCTCTCCTTTTTTTTCATGCAAAACTGCTTGCAAAATGAGTTCATAATCTCCAGATCAGCATCACTAAGAGGGAAAGGATCCAGAAGTTATAGCTGGAGGGTATGAACTTTCTTTCACCCACTTCCCAAGGCATCCCCAAGGCAGGTTCTAACCCATCTGTTTGTAAGGCTGGTGGAGATCTGCACATGAGCATTACACACCTCAAGGCCCTCTTGCAGGTTTCAAGAGCAACACTGAACACCAGCAGTGATGGCTGAAGTCTCTTTCTCCACCCCCTGAGTCCTCCTATCCCACAGACCAACCAGGAGGGAATGGGGTTCTAAATAACTCCCCAGTCTCATTCTGGGTGCCTCTATCAACTGCTATTTCAAAGGAGATCAAACCAGCCTGCTCATGAAGGAGGAAGTTCAGAACCCTTCTGGGTGCCATCCAACATTTCTCACACTTTCTTTTGATAGGGATGTGGATCAGAGGAGGAAAAGGAAGGGAATTTGCAGAGCCCTTTGATTTTCCCTCTCTCTGTAGTCAGCCACCCATCTCCAACATCTCACAAAAAGGAGGAGGGAGAGAGTGAGGCAAGCCAGGACCAGCAGCCTCTGATGGGATTGGCATAATACCAGACTCCATGCAACTGAAGAGCCTCCCAAAACTTCCTGAAACCATTTGATTTCAAAACAGGTGGTGCTCCCCATACAAACCCTTTCCCACCACTTACAGATGAGGCAGACCTGAGCAAAGTATTTCCTTCCCTTCTGGAAATGAGGCTTGCAGGCTTTTCTAGGACCAGTGCCAGGCACAGGGATGGGCATTTCTCTTTAAAACTCTCTGGAATGTCTTGGGAAGCTGTGTTTTGAGTGAGTGGTGTATGGTGGTACCTAGCTCCTGTGTATACCCTGCAAACTCTGGACTCTGCTGAGCTGGGGTTTTCTTTTGTTGCATTTGTGGTGCACAAGGTAAGACCAGAGCCTCAGGTCTGTTTTCAGATCTTAAACATGATTAAGCCCCAGTGGAGTTAACACAGGTGAACAGATTTACACCTGCAGAAGGGTTGGTGTCCATCCCACTGGGGAATAGCAGGAAATAGCTGCTGGGAATGCCACTGGTCACTACATCCACCCATGGACTCTAGGATGGACTTCTCTTTCTAGAGACACATTTTTAGCTGGGCCTTCAAACCAATCTGTGCTCTGCTATCCCCTTGGCTCTCCACATAACAGTTCCTTCAACATGACCTAAACACAGGCTATGCCCAAGGATTTTGTTCAGCTTTTCACCCCCTGTCAAGCCTGATGTCTCTCTAGAGCAGATTTCTCTAAAAGCAACCCCTCTTTTCTCTGCTTGACCAGCCAAGTTTGCAGCTACAGCCATCCCCTGTTCTGACTGACCCAGCAGGGACATGAGGCCTGTCCTATGCAGGAGTGATGATAATGATGATGATGATGATGATAATGATGATGATGATAATGATGATGATGGGGGGGGTGGGAGTGTGTGTAGCAACTGCCCTTTGGTTGAGATAAAGAGTGGGAAATCCTAGCCTGGCTGCCTGTGAAGAGATTAAGGGTGGATTCAGAGGAATGTACAGAGACAACTGCAGCGCACTGCCAGCCCAGCTCCCAGAACATCCAGTAGAGAGAGAGAAACATTTGTAGGGGGTGCATCTTCCCATCCTAAAGAGGGTATTTCAAATAAAGCCAAACCCATCCTGGAACTGCTGTTTCTGCTCCACAAAGGTGGCCAAGGTCAGTCCTAGCACTGATGTTCATCTGACCAGTGAAAAGAACCCAGATTTTAGGGTTTGATCCAGGAGCAGATGCATTCGTGTCTAATGGTGATGACAGCTTGGACAGACTGAAAAACATCTGTGTGAGGGCCACACCAAAACCATCCACTCTGGAATCTGCTTAGAAAAGGAAAAAGGGTCCTGTGCACAGGAACACCCCTGAGCACTTTTTAATTTACTCATCAAGGAGACAAATTCTTACACCAAAAGAAGGATCTCAGACATCCCTTTTGTTTTCCAGCAGACAATTGAATTTATCTACCTTGGCAGGGCTTTTAAAGCCGAAATCCTTGTTATTTGTGCAAACTGGAAAGAGAAGCAGAGCAGACCCACCAAATCTTTATTTTGATTAAACCTCTCCAGGTCCTGTCCCCAAAGACAGGTCAGATCCCTTTTTTCCTCACATTTAATGAATTTTTTCACGTGTGGTTCTGAAGCAAAGCAATCTTTCTGACTTGTACTGTTGGAAAAATCCCCTTTCTAAAACATTCTCTTTTTTTTGTGCATTTTTGGGGTCCAATGTATTAAGAGCAACTTGTCAATGTTGTTTCTCTATTTTCCTGGAAAACTTCTGCTTAATTCATTTTCCTGTATCCCTTCATTTCTGTAACACCTGGACCACACAAGCTCAAAATAAATGTTTTCAAAGTAATTATCCCTATTATATCTGTTTATAATTTTTCATCTCTATTTTCAGGTTTTAATTGTCTGCTAACAATGCTAACAAAGACAGACCAAACCAGAAGTGGCAGAACATTAACAAACACCAAACACAAAATCCTTTCAAGAGCTTTTCAATGTAATGAGGAAAATA